GCACAGAGCCTGTAATCTGGGTTATTCACTGGCCTAACTTGATTTCTCCCTTTTGGTATCTGGCTGGTGGCTGGGCCCACTGGGACTCATACAAAGCCTGCTGAAGGCGTGGAAATATTCTCCATTATTTCAATGGGCTTTCAATACAGTCTAAAAAACACGCAAAACATAAAGCCTGTCTGGACAAAAGATGCTTTCTAAGTGGCAGGTGTGACTCTTGAATTGTGTTGTTAACCCTAAATGGGACAGGCAAATAACAAATATGCAAGCAGCAGGACTTGGCCAGAAGAAAACCATCTATAAAATAAGCAGTGTAGCTGCATGCTTCTGATACACCAGATCGGCAACAAGAGAGGAGAAACCATCTTCTCCTGGAGAGGAGCCCATCCTAAGGTCAGGAGAATGGCTGAGGACAGAAGAGGAGAAACAGTAGCTGGAGACCACAGGTATAGTTTTTGGGAAGGGTTGAAGGAGAAAAATCTCAGCCTCGGCTTTTCGATTTCCCTCGGAATAAAGTGTACATAGAATTCAAGGAAACAGGGACCCAGCTCATTCCAAGCTGGCAAAGATGAATCTGCTTTACAGAATTGTCCTTGAAAAACTGAACATCTCAAAACCAACCACAGGAAGTAACTGATGCAAGATATCCCTAAACCCAAAACTCTAGACATATCAGTTCAAAATCTTTAAATAAAGACTTTTACATCAGACTTAAGGAACAAAATATCCGATAAATTGTTCTGTACCCTACTTTTTCCTCACCAAAGCTTCAGGTCATTAGGCAATTTCTTAAGTGTCTTAGGTTAGAAAAGTATTCTCTGCAGGTCGATCATTTTCTGATTTTGGACTAACAGATTATTTGAATTTTAACGTATCTGGACATAGCGACCTCAATTCCCTCATGAGAGCGTCAGACAGAATACAGACGTTAAAGCTGCTGATCTAATCCAATGCCTCTTCACTTATAAAGGAGTTTTTTCAAAAGGAGAGAAAGAAACTATGACTTCTTGGAGGGGGAAACGTCTAAAGAAAAAGCAGAAAATACGCCTAGCCTATCTTTAACTTAGAATACTTTCTCTTCAGTATCATTTTGACTCTCTGCCCAGAAACTCCAACGTAAGCCTCTTGATTGCAGAAGTCACAAGAGAATCAAGTGTTTGCAGAAGGCTGTAGAAGCAGGAGAGATGTTTCCTACTCCACTTTTGGGTCATAGTCTAACTGAATAAACTCAGCCCTTAAAATTTTATTAAGTTTAAATAAGGATTTATATGTTTGGAAAAATGGTGCTTGGAAACGAAATTTAAGAAAAAGAGAGAGAGAAAAAGGAATGAAGAATGTAATATAACCACAGGAAAGCAGAGGTGTTTCCCCCTTTCACTGTTCTTAATTAAAATGAAAAAAAAAAAACCAACCCCCAAACCCCTGAAACTGAGAAGGATTTGTTTAGTCCTCCACTGTCATCAGTGCTGATGGTTCTGGGACAGGAAAACGGCAGGGATTTGGGGGCCTGCTCACACCCCCCATATCAAGCACTATACCCTGGCTAAGCTGGGCTTCCCAACCCCAAGCTGGGCAGCATCTCCCTGGGGCAGTCCTGTCCCTGTCCCTGTCCATGTCCCTGTCCCTGGGTGCCAAAGGAGCTGTGCTCTGACCTGTTGCCCAAGCTCTGTGCCTTCAGGCTCAGAAATAACTTTCCTTGCACTTTTCCTCCCAGCACCGTCCCTTCCGTGCAACCCCTGGCACAGTCTCAGCCCCAGGAACTCTGCCCTCTCCTCCCAAACGCCATGGGAGTCAACAAGACTGCAGATTTCCCAAACTCCCTCAGGGAGGCTGAAGAGGCTCAAGAAACTCATCCGTAACACCTCAAGTCAACAGCATTAGCTTTTCCACTTCTGGTCCTTCTTTCTGCTCCAGGATAAGTTTTTCTCTAAAGGCACCTCAGCATCTTGCAGCGGGCTACTGAAGATGCTCCATCTCCTAAGACTCCCACTAAAGGAATTTAGTTACTGCACTTAGACACATACTCCTCGCCATGACCACCCCCACTGTCCCTGCAGCTACGTTAGGCTTTCTCAGCTACTTCCCAGTTCATTACACTGACCTAAACCAACGGCTGTGAACTGAGGCAACTGATGGACAGGTTCACCTTCACTTTGCAGCTCCTGCTAACTTTCAAGGGACAAGCAGGCACTAGTAACCTTATAAACAGCCCCCAAATGAAACCTCAAGGAGTGAGAGTCACAGTCTTCTGCAGGTCTCCATGCCCCCGCTGGATGGAGCTGAATTGCTGGCTTCCACCGCTCACATAAGCATTGAGTCTTACGACTCCATTCCTGATCTTTTGTTCCTTCCTATATGAATTGCATTAATGGTACCAGTTCCAAGGACTTTCCAGACCTCTGAAGAGCTGGGCCCGCAGTTGGATATCATGGAAGAATGGGCAGACCTTCTAAAAACGCTATGACACTCTTGTCTCCCAAGATTGGCACAGGTACCTACCCTGAAGTTTAAGTGACGATACATCTCACTTAGGATATTTATAGTTTTTCTGCACTTGTAGGCCAATCGTTTGTTGTCACCTGATGAGACCTGCACTACGCTCTCAGCACGCAATAAATCCCTGTGCCTACATTTAATGTCTCGAGAGAAAGATCCCATGAGGGATGCTTCATGTGTAATATTTAAGCCAGGCTAATCTAATTTAGTAACCAAGTGGCAAAGCTTCTCTATGGCAGAGAGAGTCTATCATCCTTGCAAAAACCACACAGAATAAACTTTGGAATTACCACAATTGGCAAAAGTTGACCTGAATAGGGAGTTTATTTTAGGTTTTAATTTTCTAGTTTGTTCTGCTTGCAATTAAAAATAAATGGTATAAAGCTGGTTTATAAAAACACTACCAAACAAAAAAAACTCTTTACCCAAATTAAAAACAACAACCACGAGAGGAAAATACTCCACAACATTTAGAGTTCTGCAGGGACTAGTATACATATAGGGATTTTAATTTTCCATGGCCTGTAAGCGTTATAATCTCTATCAACTGTGTGCACTCTGGGACCGTGACTAACACCAGTGCTTGAACTCTGACTGGTTGCTGGCTTCTTTCTTCTTTCTTTACCACTGTTTTTAAACTCACATTTGATCCAACAATTTGCAGGGATAAAGAAGTTTTTGCAGGAGTCCGTTCCTCACCAGTCTAACCCACAGATCTGTTATAGGACATTGTGTCAACAAATCACAGATGTCTGCGAGTCAATGCAACCAGTGTGAACGGCCACAACTTGTCTCAGGGACAAAGGCTTCATTGGTGGAGAAATTACATGGACACAGACTAAAAGACGACACAGGACATTCACATGCCAGGACTGTCTTCATGGTTTCACCTACTCGTAGTCCTTTCTTTGCATTCATGGCAAATATACCACCACATTTGGAGAGTTATTTCTCCAAAATCATGATGTGTTTATCTTGTGTGCTGTGCCTTCACATTGCAGGAATAGTTACAACCATTGACTTCTCCAGGATCCTCTAAAGTCATGAGGTCTCTACCTTTCTGACTCACACAGCCCACCCATCTTTAGAGACGTATTCCTACCCGAGTTGCTTTCTCCCTTTACTTTCCAGTGCAAGGCTGTCCAGAACAAACCGCTCTGACAGCTTTGGTATTATGCAGACTTCTGTTTCAGTACTGCCACGTTAATCACCCCGTTATGTCCTGCTTAGTTGTGCTAAAGCGGTGCTTCACTTTCTAGGGCTGGATTAAGCAGGACTGCAAAGGGGGTTTGTCCCATTCATTACCATCAACAACTCTTTCTGCTGTTTGAAAATGATAACTGAATATGGAAAAAGAGAAGACACAACTATTTGTCCAGAGTTCAGTGACCTCTGATCATCCAAGCTGATGTCTTTCTGCTCCTGTCGAGGGGCAGGGTAGTTCTGTGGTAGGTGACATAGAAGAGCAGCTCCAGCTGCTGCTGAGCGTCTTTTGCATTTCTACCTGGAACTTCTCAGAGGGGCACACAAGACCTCTGGGAAAACACCCGTGTCACGGAGTGTGGCTGGGAGACTGTTGGGGCCCTCCTCGCTTTCCCAGCTGTTCCTCTGAGAAACAAGTGGCCCACAGAGCCCTGTGCAGATCAAGATAGCAACGGCGAGATAAGATGTCTCAGAGAGCTCTGCCTCAATCAACAGACTGAGCTTACTCTCAGTTCTCTCTTGAAGTCACATAGTTATCCTTGACTTGCATTTGCTAATGGTAAACGACTATCATGATTTAATAGACTTTCATTGGCAAAACATATATAATACTGTGTCTGCCAAAGCTTATACAGGTCCATTCCAAGTAAGTCACTGCACCTGAGACAGGAACCTGGGAGCATTTATCAAAAAAGGAGAGGTAAGGGATGACATCCAAAGACCAAGTTTCCATAGAATTAATGGGAAAGGAGAAAGAGGAACCTACGTATTAAATGAGAATCTCAGTTTGCCACGAACTATCAAACTGGTCTAGAAAGCAGATTTCTGCTCCATTGAGAGTTTTTAACAGCATTGGATAACTAAGATAAACAGAGACTGAAGGGCTGCCTGAGACACATACAAAATTATTGAATTATGACATGTTTGAGAAGGTATTTACTTTATAGAGTATTTACATAAGGTTCACTTCCTTTTCATATATAAGCTCAAATATTACAAAGATTCCCCCGCCCTTAATGATGGGACTACATTCAACAGCCTCGCAAACATCCATAACTAACTTTTTTTCCAGCACATTCCTACGAAAGATTTCCAGGCAGTCCCTTCCCCAGAGCACAAGCAATACCAAGGAAACCCCAGTCTCTCACACGGCAAACGAGGCACGTGTGGAAAGAAAACACAGAGCATCAAAAGATAGAGGGGAAAGAGGAGACAGAGTACAAAGCGATGACCGGGACATCGCTATTAAAACCGCTGACTTGATCTCAATTAGCTGTCCCACCTGCAACACTTTTTCTTACCTGAGAAGTGTCATGGTTGAATATGACAGCATTCAGGTCTCCACAGTTATAATGCTTGATGAGATCTTCAGTGGTATACGGGGCCTGCAAACTACCTGCTCGGAGGCTTTCATGTTGGAGCAGAGTTTGGTTTAGAGCAAACAGCACCTGTAGAAATGCACACAAGAAAAACAGGGGAGAAGTTAAAGGCATGAAGAATCAAAGCGGCAAAGCCTCAAGGGCCAAACTTTGAACAAATCTCCTGCACCTGAAGTCTATTGACCCATCCTGGCCCACAGTAACAAGGGCTGATCTTTAGGCATTCCCAACTGGAAGGGGAGTCAGATGCAAGGTCCCTTACTAGCAGAAGACCTTATTATAAGCCCTCTGATATTCCGCATAAAGTATGACTTCACAACACCTATATATTGCTCAGAAGACTACTTGAGTGTCCCCATCCCAAACCTGAAAACACCAACAAAGCAGAAGCACACTTTACTATGTAAATTTAGGTAACAAAAAAAAAAAAAAAATGTCCTTGAAGTTGATATTTTTTTCCTTACATACCAAAAATGCTCCTAGATTTCACAAGAACTACCAGAAATCTTTTTATATGTGTGACTATGCTATATTTTATTTATATCAGTTACTAAACCACCAAGTCTGTGCTTTTCATGTTCAGCTTTCCAAGCACCTTCCGAAGAAACTTGATAAAAAGTAGAGGAATAAATCAGAAGAACAGCAATTAAGACAAGTTTGTCACAAATTACATAAACAAGAAAATGCACTTTTTCTAAAATAATGGGATATGTAGTGACTGCAAATTCAGAGTTCTGAAAAACTATACTTATGCGTCATTTTTCATGAAAAGACTCCCGCATCCCTCAGCCTCACGTTTCACCCCATTTTCAGCTTCTTTCATTTATAACAGCAGTGCCCGACCCATCCCAAAGAATAACCATCACCTCCAAATCTGGGTAAAATAACCCATGCTGAGCTCCAGCCAGGCTGCAGTCTGTGACACAGATTCTTACTTCCCTTAACTTTAAGCAACTGAACCCACTTTAAGAGGTGAACCCCAGAGGAGTTTAAAATTAACAATTTAATTAACAACAACAGTAACAATAACAATTAACAATATTAGGTATTTGCAGGATGGAAGTTCTTATTTAAAATTATGATTTCCATTGAAGTTTATCTGAAGGAAAGGAAAGAGTCAATTGGGTTTACTCCTGCAAAACCTCAGGTATATAACAAATATGATCTGAGATTTAATAATAATAATAATAATAATAATAATAATAATAATAATAATAATTGTATCTCCAGGGCATTAACAGCCTCTTTATACCGGTTACATGCTAACTAGCATACGCAAATTGGTTAAGGAAAAGCAAATGTTATTTTTTAATTTACTTTTAAAAAATATAAAGATGGTCTTTCAACTGAACCTGTTGTACCTCAATTCGGCAATCAGTTCCCCATTAAGATCCAAGCCTAAAAGATTTCCTTGTCCAGATCTAAGGGTTTCTTCAGGCTTTTCTACAAAGAGATCAATCTTTTCCAGCACCACAGTCTGCAGTTAGGCATCTTCCTAACTTAGTTTTTCTCTAATTTAAAAAATCTGCAAAAAACACAGTTTGAAAAATTTCTAACCTTTGAAAGGATCTGAGCTTTTTCTTTTTCCCCTAAGGGCTACAGCTCGAAGAGGAAATGGTTCATCCCAGGATTTCCTGGGGATTCTAAACATTTTGGCTTATAAAAATAAAAGCTTAGAAAAACGTTGACAGGGAAACTGAGAGCAGAGGTTTTCCCAAAATGCTTTTAGTAAAATCCTCCTCATTTTTGATTTGTTAAACAATGGATGTCGCTGGATTTTCGTATATGAAAATATGTATACACACAGGCACACACATATACAAACCACCAACAAACCCCGAGGATAAGACAGTATGTTTTATGATAAAATATTAAGAAGGCAATAAACAAATCCTTATTTTACTCCCAATGCCTTTTTTTTTCTTTTTTGGTTGGTGAGTTTTTTTGTTATTCTGATTTCCTGGGGAAACCAGTCCTGTACATTAATGCTCTGGATCTGTCCGTCTGTCTCCTCCTAATAAATGTGGAACCTATTAGCTGATTTCAGTCACATTTGCAGAAGGTTAGATGTCTTAAAGAAAATTGCCTATATATTCCTTGAATATAAGTGCTAGGCTGCAGAAAAGCCCAGGGTACGAGTTCACTTCTTATAAGACACTGAAGACTCCACATGAGACAGAATGAGTTATTTGGAGTTTACAACAGCAGATGGACCCTCATGCACCAGACCCCACATTTCATTAGTGTCAGGACGTTCATGTCCCTGCTCTCTGCCTCTGAGCAGCTTTGGGACTCAGAGGTGATGCTGGCCACCAGCTGGACTCCAGCACGCCGCCACCGCTGGCGGGGAGCTCATCCCTGGGTTCAAACTACTGCCCGAAAAGCAACTCAAAAACTCTTATTTTAGGAGGGAAGTTAAAATTAGAAACTCAAACACTTGAATACGCTAAAGGAAAACTGCAACCACTTAAATAGCTTTCTAGAGAAGTCTTGCTTAATCAAGCCTTAACCACCATGGCTTTTGGTCGGGCAGCTCAAAACAAACTTAAAGAGAAGCGGGGTCTCCTCGCAGCCGCCTGCTCGTTGGCTGGATTTGTAGACCATTTCCTTCAGAGTCAGGTTAAAGCCATATTAAAACCTGAATTTATTTTTCCTTACTGTTCAGATAATGCCACAAAAACAATGCTGTTTCCTTTCCTTCTCTCTATCTTAATATCAGTGACCCCACGACCTCCAGGCTAAACCTCTATCTGAGTTAAATCTCCCAGAGGTGCCTGAGATTACTGAACAACTGATGACTTCAAAATAAACACACTTAGAGAGACTGCCTATACACAATCCCACCTAATAAATATAGCAGACAGTACTTGTTCTGGGAAGTGATGGGAAGTTATGACTTTGACTCTGGGAAAGTGCATTTTTATTCACGCAATTTACGGTCCTCACATCATCGCGCTTTGAAAGCCATTTTTGCACGGCTGTCTCCGGCCCTTGTTTCCGACTGAGCAACCATGGACAACAGAAAGGGGCTGCCAGGACTAAGCTTTTTTATCTGAGCAGTGTCCATTCCCTTGTGCAAAGCAGCAGCCCAACACACGTATTTTATTTGGGTGTTTGGAGACACCAGCTCAGACCTCAGGGCAAACTTATGGGTTTGTTCTACTGCCTAAGAGAGTGGGTACCACCAATCCTACACAGCACCAGGAACCACTGGTCCAGACTTTTGTGGAGGTCTTTTACACAGACTACGGCCATCTCAAGGCTAAGGGGGTTGGACCGGTCATTTCTGCCATGGGAAGGTCAGAAGGGATGCAGCAGAGCTGGGACAGGGAAGAGCTCTTGCATCACTGGCTTTGTTTTGTAAGCCCATAGGAGAGGCTGTATGTTTGATTTTGTGCAAGGTTTTAATGAGATTTGGCTTTTAGGCAAGTAAACCCAATCCACAGAAACAGATCGAAGAAAGCATCGCCACCTTTTCAAATGGGGGTGGGGGATGTGAACAGACACGTACCTGGGCTGGGCTTAGGAACACTTGAGACTTTCCACCAGAAATCGTGTTCTTTGTTGCATTTAGTCTTGGGAGCAAAGCTAGATAAAAATCCCACTTGTTCCAAGGTACTCTCAAACATTCAAGTATTGTGTTCTATTGTGCCACAAGTCTACAGCTTCAGACTGGATGTCTGAAGGCTTCTGAAGGCCAGCAACACATTAGTGCTGTATGTGATAGATAAAGAGGAAAAATCATGGGCTTTGTACAGGAGAGTTTTCTCCTGATCTATCTTACGTGCATTTGCCTCTAGCTGAACAGAGTAAAAAAAGCCCAGAAAACAAAAACCAAGGTAACCCTCATCACATACAGCATCATGCCTGGTTTATGTCAGCTGCTTGTACGGTCTTTTGGTCATAAGGTCCTGAGTGGCATGAAAGAAGAAATAAGATTTCTAAAATATGCTATTCAGTACATGGATTCTTTGCCATGATCATCACTGAACATCAGCTCAAGGCTGCAAAGTTAGCTCTATCCTTTCTACATTTTTAATGCTTTTGCATAGGTGAGCGAGTTGACTTTGGTTGATGACCCTGAATGCTCACATGCTTTGTCAGAAATCAATTTCTGACAAACTCTGGCAGCAGCTCAACTCTGTGCCTATCACCTTGTCTAGGAAGCAATGCTGTGGATTTCCAACCAAGTGGAAAAGTTGCCAGATCCATCTCTTCAATTTGTCTGACTAAGATCCCAAATGATGCCACAATGCAAGAACAGCTTTGTGGGGCACCTAAGAGGCCATCATAAAATAAGACAAGGAAACCTTATTACCAGATAAAATACTTGAGCAGTCCCAAACCTTACAAAATACATTGCTAGTAAAATAGACAACAAATTCAGGAATTACAACAGAAGAAACAAATTTTGTGTTAAGCTGAAGACAAATGGACCTGCCGCTTGCTATACAGGAGACTTAAGAATGAAAGGCAACTCTGAGAGAACTCTCAAGCCAAAATTTGGTGCTCAGACAAATTTCACTCTTACGTGATGGGGGAGAAATGACTTTTCAGTCCTAAACTTACCAAGGCTGAACTACAAACACTGCTTCACAGGACTCCAGTAGCTGGAGTTACAGGATGACCCCTCCATAGAACCATGATTAATAACAAAACCACAAAAACAAGTACTTAAATTTCATACTATGATGTCAGCTCTTGAGCAGGCAACTATTGTTTTCCTTTGCTCTCTCTTTTGGACACATGCCACCACAATGCAAATACTAAATAAGCATTACTGGAAGCTTTTGAGTGACTATATCCTGTCAGTGCCCGAACTGCAATTCCACAAAAGAAATGCCCTCTCTCTTGCTTGGTTCAAAACAAAGTGCAACATAAATATTGAGGTATACGGTTCTTCAGGGGTTCTTCTTTTGTTGTTATCCTTCTCTGTACTCCAACAGAAAATATACACTTTCAGGTCAAAATAGTGACTTGGGGGGCGGGGGGGGAGAAAAGAGGAGAGGAGCGGAGAGGTGAGGAGAGGGAAAAGAAAAAGAACAAGACCCTGATCTTCCAGATTAATG